CCAGAACCCTCTGCAGGTCCTGGTGAACGCCATCATCAACAGCGGCCCCCGAGAGGACTCAACACGCATTGGGCGAGCTGGGACAGTGCGACGACAGGCTGTCGATGTGTCCCCGCTGCGCCGTGTGAATCAGGTGTGTTTAGCTGGAGCTGCACTTCTCCAGGAGCTTGGCTGCCTTGCCACCTGGTGCAGGACAGATCCAGGCTCTGCCCTCTGGCCTACATTAGGCTGAGGTCTGATTTCAGCCAGGTGTGCTCACATGCACCCTTTTTATTCTTGGATCATTTGAGATTTGGTTGCAGACATTGTCATTTTCCCCCAAATACATTCCCATCATTCTATCCCACCCCACCCCATCTTTTTTTTTTTTTTTTTTAAGATTCAATTACTTGAAAGGCAGGGTGACAGGGAAAGAGGAAGTACAACAGCTGGGCTGAGCCCCAGTCCAAATCCAGGAACCAGGAATTCCATCCAGTTCTGTGTGGGTGGAGAGTGCTCAAGTACCTGAGCCATTATCTGCTGCTTCCCTGCCAGGCACATTAACGGGGAGCTGGCTCAGAAGCAGAGTAGCCAGAACTCAAACCTACACTGAAGTAACATCACAGCCCACTGTACCACATGCTCACCATACCCCCAAGAAACGTAACGGTAGTAATAAATGAGCCAGCTACTGTTCCATCTGTACGTCTGCCCCCAGCATGCCCTTGAGTTTCCTTGTCAGTCAAGGGTCCAGGTCGAGAGCATGCATTGTGTTTTCTGTCACGGTAGGTAGGCTTCAGGTCTTCTACCATTAAGGACGTAACCTCGGGCTGTGCCTTTTCTGCCCTGTAACTGATCTGAGATCCGGCAGGATAGCACCTGCCTCTGTTTCTGGCCGTGAGTGATGGGGTGATCGCCTGCGTCTGCTGAGGGCACTGGGCTTAGCCTGACCCCCGTATTTCTAGGCCATTTGGCTGCTGTGCACAGGCGCTCGGGAGGCTGCCTTCCGGAACATCAAGACCATCGCCGAGTGCCTGGCAGACGAGCTCATCAACGCTGCCAAGGTGTGTGGGGGCACTGGGGCTGGGAGGGTCAGGTGATGTTTGGGGGTAGTCCTCCATCTGCAGCTAACCTGGTCTCTTTGTAGGGTTCTTCCAACTCCTATGCCATCAAGAAGAAGGATGAGCTGGAGCGTGTGGCCAAGTCCAACCGCTGAGTTCCCAGCTGCTGCCCAATAAACCTTTCTGCCTTTGGAGCGGCTCCACTCTGCTGTGTCGTTGTCCATCCTTGGGGCAGGGGGCAGTGTGGCCATGGCGGCCTGGGGGCTGCTGCTTAGTCTGTAGGGGCTCTTCTGGCAGAACCATGGTGTCAGCTGTAGCTCAGTCTGCCTGGAGGGTTCTAGCTGAGGAATTGGCACGTCAGACAGCACTGGGCTGGGAAGGGGCTTTGTTGGGAGCTAACCATCCTGGACCCTGTTACCTGGAAACATCGTCCAGTTCAGGGAGTGAGGGCCTGTGTTCTAGGCCACATTCTCCACTCTGTCTGCTGGCCACACCCTGGGATTCGTGAGATCCACCATCATGTGGCTTCATTCTGACCATGGTTGATGGCTATGGCCCAGGGCCCCTCTTTTTAAGATTTGTTTATCTGAGAGGTAGAGTTACAGACATAGTGGGAGAGACAGATAGGTCTTTGATGTGGTCCACTCCCTAAGTGGCTGCAACGCCTGGATCTGGGCCAAGCTGAAGCCAGGAGCTTCCCTGGTCTCCCATGCGGGTGCAGGGGCCCAAGCACCTGGGCCATCTGCTGCTGCTTTGCCAGGCTGTAGCAGAGCGCCGGATCAGAAGCGAAGCAGCCAGGATACAAACGCACCTGTCTGGGATGCCAGCACCACAGGTGGAGGCTTAGCCTACTATGCCACAGCGCTGGCCCAGGCCTTCCAAGCCAGGGTTCATCAGGAGGTTTTCGGTGGGTTGAGCCCATGCTCAGTGTGTCATCTCCACCTCCACCATCCGGTGCGGGTCAGGCTTTGGCGTTCATTCTGGCAGGACTGGCCCAGGCTGCGCGGCAGGCTGTTGGACAGGTTCCGTGGCTGCCTTGGTCCTGGAGGGAGTGGCCCCAGGTTAGGTACCCTCCCCTAGGGAGGGACACTAAACATACCCAAGCCAGTCAGGCCAGAGAGGTCAGAACTGGCGGGGACAGGCCACCAGCCAGAGGGAAGGAGGTGTCGCAGGTAGGAGGGGTCCCTGCGTGGTGCTGCCTGGGGTCTGTGCTGTGCGGGAGCCCCTGGCCTTTACGGGTCTGTGGCCTCTGTTGCTGGGTACCTGTCACTCTAGACTCACCTGGAGTCTCAGGAGGGGCTTGTGGAGTGGCTCAGTTCTCCCCTGGGTGGGGACGATCTCCCATCAGCGGCTCCTCTGCTCTGTCCTCACCGTGTCGTCTCTGCCCCTGTGGAGGTAGCTGCCCTGTTTGGACGACCGTGCTCTATTCTGGGGGAATCCGCTCCTCCCTGGAGTCCTTGCTGGCCTCCCAGACTGCCCTCCAGGCTTCTGCCGCCTCAGCCCCCCACCGGACCACTCCTCAAAGGCCTAGTCTGAATGCCTTGTCCTCGGCTGCCTTGGCTCCGCCGCCCCCAGGCCCCTCAGGGATCCGACCCCAGCTCCCCAGGCTCGCTGTCCGCACCTCGCTCTGTGAGCGGAGGCCAGGACGAGGACGAGGAGGAAGGGGACAGCGGCCCCGGCTCCAGCCCCATCCTGCCCCCGGCGTCCCCCGTGGAGTGCCTCATCTGTGTGTCGCCCTTCGACGGCGTGTTCAAGCTGCCCAAGCGCCTGGACTGCGGCCACGTCTTCTGCCTCGAGTGCCTGGCTCGCCTGTCGCTGGCCACAGCAGGCGGGGGCGACGCGGTGGCCTGCCCCGTGTGCCGCGCTCCCACCCGGCTGGCTCCACGCCGCGGGCTGCCCTCCCTGCCCACGCAGCCGGGCCTGCTGCCCCGCGACGCGGGCACACCGCTGCCGCGCCAGGGCTCGGTGCGCTTCGACCGCCGCCGCGGGCTGCTCTACCTGCGGCCGCCGCCGCCGCTGCCGGGGTCGCGCAAGGCCCGCGCCGCGCGTGTGCCACCGCCACCGCCGCCACTGCGCCTCGGCCGTCCGCTGTCGCGCCGCCTGTCGCTGAGCAGCCCGGCCTGGGCCTTCAACGCAGCCGTGGCGCTGGCCGTGCTGGTGGCCGCCGGCCTGGTGGTCTCCGGCGTCTACATCTTCTTCCTCATCCCGCACGCCTCCTCGTCGGGCCCCGCGCGGCCCCAGCTTGTGGAGCTCGCCCCGGCGCCTGCCTTCTGGTTCCCACCGCGGACCACGCCGGAGGCGCCCTGGACCCCCGGCTGGACGTCCGGCTCCACAGGCGCTGCCCTGGACTCCACCCTGGGGGATGTGGAGGCCTCCCAGAAGGCTGGGGAGGGCCTGGAGGACCCCACAGATCCAGAGGGACCGATGGACAGGTCATCTGACCTCGTGGGGGCAGCGCAGTAAATGTATTGGTGCTGCAGGCCCTGCCTCTGGGCCCAGAGACCTGCGTGCCTTCTTGGGGAGCTTAGCAGGTGCCTGGCAGTCACCCATTTCCCAGACCGGGGCCTGGTGGAGCACAGGATCCCTGGCGGCGTCACCACGGACAAGAACCCTCTCAAGGAGTAACTGCCACGGTCTCCATACAGGGGTCCAACCGGAGGACCCTCTGACCGACTCCTGTGGCCATCAGCTGAGGGAACCCTGATGGCGGTCCCGGTAAGGATCTTGCTGGGGCATGCCCCCGAGCCTGATCTCCGTGGGGTCCAGTCAGGCGCGTCCCAGCGCCTTTGTGGAAGGCCAGGGACCAGAGGGTGGCAAGGGTGATGCAGCAGGTGTCCGGGTCATCACTGCGCAGCCCTGGGGAGTGTCCTCGGCCAGCCCAAGGGCTGCATGCGCTGGGCTCCCTGCATGTGGCTGGACCCCTGTCTTGGACTATTATTCCCTGATCTTGACCCCTCCCCTACTGGCCCATTGCAAGGGACAGTCACTGCCCCCAACCTATCTGCTGCCTCCAAGTTGGGCCTAAGTGGGACTCTGTGGTCTACAGGTTGATCCTGGCTGCAGCTTGGGCTCAGAGGGGCGGGGGTGGCCCGGCTAGGGCTGAGGAGGGCCTGGCTTCTACCCCAGTCTTACATCTGGGGTCTCAACTTCCCCTGTGGGTCCCAGCTCCTGGGATCCTCAGCATACTGTGGGGCAGCTGTGGTCACCATGGCTCAGAGAGGTCAAAAGGAGGAGGGCATCCCGGGTCTCCCTGGCACCAGAAGCCCCAACACCTTCATTTACTTTCTCAGGATCAGTCACTGCATTTTCTCCTCCAGGGCTCCATCAGCCCTGCCCAGCCTGCCCGGTGTCCCCAGCTGCATCCTCAGCTTTCTTAGTGGACAGTGGCCTCCAGGGAAGGTGGCACATGGGCTCCTGTCCTCCTCTTCCCAGAAGCCCTCTTGGGTTAGTCGCAGAGGGGTATAAGGCAGCTGCCCTCTGTGAAGACTGACACACCTTATACACCTTCTCCCAGGCCCTGGAGCCCCTGTTCTGTCTCACCTCATCTGGGGACAGGGTGCTATGTGTTGGGGTGAGCACCTAGCACAGACTTCTGTGTGGCCGGAGGCTCTGGTTTGAGGTGTTCACTCTCCTGTTCTCAGCACCTGACATACAGTGGGGGGCAGTCTGGGAGTGCTTGTGGACTCCCCACGCTCCCGACCTCCACGTCTCTGTGGAGCTAGTTTTGGCGTGAGCTGCTGCTTCTGGAGATGAGCCTGAGGGAGTCCCAGGGTGTGCCTTCCAGCCCAGCTCCTGGCCCACACTGGGTGCCGAGGTCACCCACGGGGTAGGATCAGTGGACTGGGTCACTGAGCAGCCACAGCCCAGCCTCACAGGGAGGAAACCTGGCTAGGTAGGAGCAGGATTGGCCATCTGTGTTTTTCTCCGGTTACTGTAACAAATGACTCCCAAATCCAATGCTTAGAAGGACACATGTTTTATCACCTCTAAAAGACAATCTATTCATGTAGGTTTTCCAGCTTTTAGAGGTGCATTTCTTGGCTCATGGCTTCTTCAAGACCATCAGCGGGGCCAGTGCTATGGCGTGGCAGGGTAAGCTGCTGTCTGAGTGCCAGCATCCCACATGGGCACTGGTTTGGATCCTGGCTGCTCCACTTCCGATCCAGCTCTTTGCTGTGGCCTGGGAAAGCTGTACAAGATGGCCCAAGTCCTTGGGCCCCTGCACTCATGTGGGAGACCCAGAAGAAACTCCTGGCTCCTGGCTTCAGATCGGCGCAGCTCTGGACGTTGTGGCCAATTGGGGAGTGAACCAGCGGATAGAAAACCTCCCTCTCTGCTCTCCTCTCTTTCAAATAAATAAATAAATCTTAAAAAAAGACCAGCAGCACAGCATCTTCCAATCTCTCTAAGACCCTCCTGCTAACCTCTTTATTTTGTTTAAAAGGCAGAGATAGAGAATTGTCTCCCTTCTGTTGGTTCAGTCCCCCAAATGCCTGTGACAGCGGGGTTGAGCCAGGTCAAACCAGAAGCCAGGAACTCCATCTACATCTTCCATGTGGGCGGCAGACCCAAGTAGTTGAGTCATCACCGAATGCCTCCCAGAGTGCATCAGCAGGAAGCTGGAACTGGCAGCTAAGCTGAGACTCAACCCAGGCACTCCCACGTGGCACGCATGCTAAGCAGCATCTAAGTGGCTAGGCCAATGCCTGCCTCCATCCTCTTTCCCTTTAAGGACACTGGGAGTACTGGGCCCACCCAGATAATACAGAATAATCTGAATTTATTTATACCTGCAAAGTCCATTTTGCCAAGTAATGTAACGGGATCACAAAGTCCAGGAATTAGGACATGCATATCTTTGGGTGCCATTATTCAACCTACTGTATGGTCTCAAAGATCTCCCTCAACTTTTCTCTCCCCATCACATCCTGGGGGCGTGAAGGTGGGCAGGAGTGGACCTGGCCTGGACTGACCCACAGGGGGAGAGGATACTGCCTGAGGATGGTCCAGGAAGGGTGCCTGGAGGAGGGAACCTCAGTTACTGTCAAGGGTGCTCAGAAGCTGGAACCGAGGTCGATGGCATAGCCTGCACAAAGGCAGGGGGCCTGGGGAGACAAGGTGATGGCTGAGGGTGGCCAGTGGGGTCGGCCCCTCCCTCCTAGAGGCTGCTGTGACTTCTCCACCCTCCCAGCTGGGAGCCTGAGGCCTCATTCTCTCCTCCCAAGAGCATCCCTGTCTGCTGATTAGTACCTCGGTGCCTGCCCGCCCACTGCTCACAAGGGGCCCCTGGAAACTGCCCAAGCCAGGATCATGGGGTGCCCCTCCCCACTCTCGCCCACTGGCCTCAGCACCACCTACTCCACGGTTCTGGAGACGCAGCCTCTCAGCCCTTGCTCTGCCTACCCCATCCCGCCGCACCCTCCCTCTGCTGGTACCTCTTGGCACTTCAGGCACCAGGCTTGCCCAAGAGAAGGGGCAGCCTCAGCATCTGGAACAGGCCAGATCTGGGTTCTCTCCTGTAAAGTGAGCGACGCAGAGAATGCATTCACCCACAAGTCATCACTGAATGCCTTCTCTGTACCAGGGGTGCACCAAGGCACCTCGGGACGGGCTGTCCTGGGTGGCAGATGAGGTCCAGGCTGCTGAGTGGAGAGAGCCATCGTCAGGCAGCACTGTCCCAGCTGCCAAGCTCTTGGGGATCCCCAGCTCCCCACCCCCAGGGGCTCCGTTGACGGGGATCCTGCCAGCACTTCTTCAGCGAAGGGCAGAGAGGGTTCTGCCCACGCCAGACCCATCCCTGGCCATCGCGGCCTCCTCTTCTGGTTAGGGGCCAAGAGAAGGGACTCTCTGGAACCTGGGAGCAGCAAAGTCCAGGCTGACAAACCGGGAAACGCAGGCTCACCAGTAGGGCAGGTCGACAATTCGACGCCGGGTCCAAGGACTGAAAAACCCCTTCCATCTCCACGGCTTGCCCTGGCAGCCTGGTTTCTCCTTTCCCCGCCCCACAACTGTAGTTCTCTGCTACACCCTGGGCCTCACTCCCACGGCAGGCCACGCTGGGAAAGCAGAGGTGCTCAGGAGAGGCCACAGCCCAGAGGAGCGACTTCCATTGCTGGAGCATCCCATTTCCTCCACTGGCCTTGTGGGAGGGGCAGGGAAGCCCCGCCCAAATAGAGAGCCAACCAGAAGTCTGAGGCCAGAGTTGCTACCGGCGCCTGTTCAAGTCCTGGCTGCTCCACTTCTGATCCAGCTCTCTGCTATGGCCTGGGAAAGCTGGCTCCCAGCTTTGGATCAGCCCAGCTGCAGCCACTTGGGCCCTGTGGGGAGTGAACCAGCAGATGGAAGACCTTTTTGTCTCTGCCTCTCTTATAACTTTCAAATAAAAAATTTTTTAAAAATAGATAAATGGACAGTGAGTGGGACACAGCTAGGGGACTGCAGTCAGGGAAGCCGTCAGGGAAGCCATCAGGAAAGTGGGAGGGAGGGACAGGGCCAGCGTTGTGGCGTAGTAGATAAAGCAGCCACCTGTGATGCTGGCATCCCATACAGGCACTTGTTCATGTCCCAGCTGCTCCACTTCTGATCCAGCTCCCTACTAATGTGCCTGGGAAAGCAGCAGAGGATGGCCCAGGTGCTTGGGCCCCTGCACCCACGTGGCAGACTGGGAAGAAGCTCCTGACTCCTGGCTTTGTCCTGGCCCAGTCCTGGCCATTGCAGCCGTTTGTGCAGTGAACCAGTAGATGGAAGAACTCTCTCTGTCTCTCCCTCTCTCTCTTTCTAACTCTTCCTTTCAAATAAATAAAATAAATCTATTTAAAAGAGGATGAGAGGGATGGGCATCTGGGCCAGTGGATAAGACAGCACTTGGGATACTGGTATCCTCCATTGTAGCACCTGGGTTCCAGTCCTGACTCTGCTTCCGAATCCATGCCCTGGGAGGTATTTGGGTCCTTATCAGCCATATTAGGAACCCAGAAATGAGTTCTAGGCTCTTAGATTTGGCCTGCTCTTTGTGGGCATTTGGGGAATGAATCAGATGATGAAATAGCCCTCTGCATTGTCCGTCTCTGTCTCTCTGTGCCTTCCAAATAATGCATTTAAAATAAATGTTAAGAAAACAAGGTGGCATGTGGGAGCCCACCCCGTGCAGTCCCCAGGTTCAGGTAACCTCAGGGCCTTACTGCCACAGGTGACTGAAGAGTTCGTGTTGTTCACCTGCGGACCGATTCGTGAGAGTCCAGCCCAGCAGAGACCAACCCACCTCGTGATAGATTTTGGGAGGTGAGAAAAATCCACACCTAGGGAAAAGCAATGACCTTCACAAACTGAACGTCCAGGGAAGGCGCGCAGGCAAAGCCCAGCGGATTCTCAACCCCCACGTCAGTGCCTGGCGTCTGACGGTGACTCAGCCGGACATCGGCTGCTCTGAAGACGAGAGACTTGTACCTGTCCCAGCTGCTCATGCGCCTCTGAAGACTGCGTGAGGGTGCTTGAGAGAAGAGGTGGCGCCAACCGCGGCTTCTAGGGGAGACGCGAGAAGAGCAGAGGGAACAGAGTTCTGGCTAAGGACAGCGAAGAAGCTGGCGGCTTCGAACAGGAGAACTGCGAATGCGACGTTCTCAGCCTGCGCTAGATGCTCCTCCCAGAAGACGAAGGACCACGGCCTCTAAGAAAGAGGCCAAGACTCCCGGGGGGCGCGGTCGCCCCGCCAGCCTCCTGCCGAGCCCTTGCCTCGGACACACTCAACCACTTGCTCACCCGCCGGTCTACCAGGCCCTCTTGATCTGGGACGGCAGACACGGGGTCTGCTACGGGGCAGGGGCTTCGAGCCGTGGCCGTGCGCAGGTCAACCTGTCCCCGGCATCCACACCTTTGCGTCTGTGCAGGGGCCAACGAAGACTCAACACACCCAAAATCCAACCGCCCGTCTCCCTCCTCCCACGACCCCGGACCCCTGGCCAGGACGTTTTTCTGACCCTCCCTCTCCCGCTCGGTCAAGAGAACACCACGCAGAGGGGGTGACTCCGGGGAGGCCGCGGGCACAGACATTTTGCTCCGGCGGACACAACGAGGCCACCTCTACAGCCGGGACGCCGGGGCTCAGCGGGACATCCCTGCGGTCAGCTCCTCTCTCCGGGTCTCGCGCCTTCCCGCGCCGGGTTTTCGCGGACCCGGAGCGCCTACTGGACGCGGCCCTAACCCGTCTGGTGGTCCTAAAGCAACCGTCTGCCGCGGACACCGGAAGGCCCGCCCCCGCCGGCGCGGCCCGCCCAGAAACGCCAGCCCCGGGCCGTCCCCGGCTACGTCTGATTGGACGCGCGGCGGCATCTCTAAAGGGAAACGCCAGTTCCACGTGTCCTTCAGACGCCCGCCCCGCCCCCTGTCGCCTTGACAACGACCAAGCGGTATAGCGCGCGGAGCCGGGAAATGACGTCACAATGTGAAGCGGGCGCTGCGGTAACCGAGGCAGCAGCCGAGGGAGCGGGGCGGGACTTCCGGCGTTGCCCTGGCTGTAGCTGTGCGGCCGGAGGGACGTCCGCGCAGGCGGCTGCCGCAGCTCAGGGGCGGGGGTCGTTATCGTCGCTTCACCGGCCCGCCCACCTGGGGAATGGCCGCGCCTCCCCGCGGCTGCGTCCCCCGCTCGCGCCCTCCCTGCTCGCGCCGTGCGGAGGCGGCTCCCTAATCCTCGGCGGGGGAGTCCGGCCGTCGGAGGGTCTCCGGGGCTGGAGACGGCCGCGCGTCGGTTGCGTGTCCCGCTCGGCGAGTCTCGCGGGGCCGCGCTGCCCGCGGGTTCCGATGGCCGAGGAGGCGCAGGTGGGCGGAGGAAGGGAAGGCGGTGTCAGACGAGGGGGCCGAGGCGGAGGCGCGCCGGGGCCTGGGCAGGTGGCGAGGTCCTCCCGGGGGGCTGGGGGATGCCCTTGGTCTGGGGCAGGATGGGGTCTTAGCTGCGCCGTTGGCACCCTGGAGACGCCCTGTGCAGAACATGTCCGGAGGCCAGGGAGCTGCCTGTGGCACGAACTGGCGAGGTGGCGCCGAGGTGAGAGTGGTAAGCCCGGCGGGCAGGAGGCTCTGGAACCAGTTCCTGGGGGGCGTAAGGGAGAAGGGTGAGCTTGGGTGTGTATCTGAGCGGTGTGATCCCTGGGACTCGGAGGAACTGGCTGGCAAGAATTAGGGCAGCGCATAGATGGCTCTCTCCGGGCGCCAGCCTGCTGCTGTGGGCTGGGCGCAGTGTCCAGGTGTTCGCCTGAGGTCCTGGGAGAACGGGGTTATGAGCGTGTGTATGTGTGGTGAATGGCCGTGGAGGTGTGGCAGAGCCCGGAGACAGACGTCCAGAGCCCGAGGTGCCTAACTGTCCGTTGGTCGTTGTTTTCCGCCCACCGTCGACCTCAGGCTCAGCGGATCCGGTCACTGCAGGAGCTGGTGCGGTTTGAGGATGTAGCTGTGTATTTCTCGCAGGAGGAGTGGCGGCTCCTGAATGAGACCCAGAGGAGCCTGTACCATGATGTGATGCTGGAGAACTTCGCACTGGTTAGCTCACTGGGTGAGTCGCACAGCCTTGCTTTCTCTCTATCCACCTAAGGTTCCACGTGGCACTCTACCTGAGTTTTCCTAATAAATGCTCTGTTGGCCCTGGTGTTCAGTGATTCTTTGGAATGTCACCTGGCCACCGTCTTCGGACATTGTAGGATACTCCATTGTGGGAACTACTATTGTTTTTTTTACATTTATTTATTTATTTGAAAGAGTTACACAGAGAGAAAAGGGGAAAGAGAGAGAGGTGTTCCATCCGCTGGTTCACTCCCCAGATGGCTGCAACAACTGGAGCTGCGCCAATCTGAAGCCAGGAGCCAGGAGCTTCCTCCAGGTCTCCCACGCAGGTGCAGTTGCCCAAGGACTTGGTCATCTTCTACTGCTTTCTCAGGCCATAGCAGAGAGCTGGATTGGAAGTGGAGCGGTCGGGACTCGAACTGGCACCCATATGGGATGCTGGCACTGCAGGCGGTGGCTTTACCTGCTACGCCCCAGCACTGGCCCCCTGGGAACTTCTTTGCTGCCACTTTGGGGACAACTGCAGCCTCAGATTCAACCAGACAAAATAATTCCCATTTGTAGTAAATTGAGTCTTCTCTCCCCACCCCCCTTTTTTCCCTCTCTCCCAGCCTCATTTCCTCCCTCCCTATCTCTCATTAGACTAGATGAAGGTTTGTCAATTTTATTGATCTTTTCAATGAACCAAATTTTAATTTTATAGATTCTATTTTTCTAATCTCTGTTTTATTTATATCTAATCTATTATTCCATTTCTTCTGCTAGCTTTAGATTTAGTTCCTTTTTCATTTTTTGCTCTTTGAGGTGTAAAGTAAGGTTATTGTTTTAAAATCTTTATGTAGAACTTTAAAAAATTATTTGTATTTTGGGGCCGATGCTGTGGTGTAGTAGGTAAAGCTAACATCTGCAGTGCTGGCATCCTATGTGGGCGGCAGTTCAAGTTCCGGCTGCTCCACTTCCAATCCAGCTCTCTGCTATGGCCTGGGAAAATCAGTGGAAGATAGTGCAAGTCCTTGAGCCCCTGCACCCGCGTGGGAGACCAGAGGAGGCTCCTGGCTCCTGACTTCGGATCAGTGCAGCTCTAGCCGTTGCAGCCAATTGGAGAGTGAACCAGCGGATGGAAGACCTCTCTCTCTCTCTCTCTCTGCCTCTCCTTCTCTCTTTGTGTAAAATAAATCTCTGTGTCAAATAAATCTTTAAAAAATTTTTTTTTTAATTTTTATTTTTATTTGGAAGACTCAAAGAGGAGAGGCAGGTGGATCCTTCATCAGCCGAATCAATCCCTAAATGCCTAAAACAGCTGGAACTTGGCCAGGCCTAAGTTGGGAGTCCCAGTTACTTGAACCATAGCCTTCTTTCTTCTTTCTCCCAGGGTCCTTTTTTTTTTTTTTTTTTTTTTTTTTTTTTTGGTCAGGCAGAGTGGACAGTGAGAGAGAGAGAGAGAGAGAAAGGTCTTCCTTTTCCGTTGGTTCACCCCCACAATGGCCGATCCGAAGCCAGGAGCCAGGTGCTTCTCCTGGTCTCCCATGCGGGTGCAGGGTCTCCCAGGGTTCCTATTAGCAGGAAGCTGGTATTGGGAGTACAGCCAGGACTTGAACCAGACACCATATGAGATGCAGGTGTCTCAATCAGCATCTTAACTGCTGTGCCAAACAGCTTCCCTGAAATCTTTTCAAATATTGGTGTTTCTAGCTGTAATTTTCCCCCAAGGCACTGCTTTTGCTGTATCCCAGAACTTCTGATGTGTTGTGTTTTAATTTTTGTGCATCTCAAAGTGACTTTTTCCCCCTTGGCTCATTGGTTGTTTAGGAATGTTTTGTTTAAGTTTTATAAATTTGTGTTTTCCGGATTTATTTCTGTTGCTAATTTATGTTTTAATTCCTTTGTGGACAGAGAACATACATCATACATTGTATGATTTCAGTACTTTGAAATCTTATTGAAGCTTGTTTTGTTTTCCTAGAAAAATATATGTTCTGGAAAATGTTCGATATTATTAAAATGTTCCATATTATGAAAAGAACGTGTACCTCTTATTACTAAGTGACTTTTTTTTTTTAAGATTTATGTATTTATTCTTTGAAAGGCAGAGTTATAGGGAGGCAGAAGCAGAGAGAGGGAGTCTTCCATTTGCTGGTTCACTCCCCAAATGGCCTCAAAGGCCAGAGCTGGGCTAATCCAAAGCCAGGAGCCAGGAGCTTCTTCTGGGTCTCCCACACAGGTGTAGGGGCCTAAGGACTTGGGCCATCTTCTACTGTTTTCCCAGGCCATAGCAGAGAGCTGGAACAGAAGTGGAGCAGCTGTAGCTGGGATTCGAACTGGTGCCCATATGGGATGCCAGCACTGTAGGCAGCAGCTTTACCCACTACACCACAATGCCAGCCTCCATATTATTTTTTTTTTTTAAGATTTATTTTTTATTTATTTGAAAGGAAGAGTTACAGAGAGAAAAGGAGAGACAGAGATCTTCCATCCACAGGTTCACCCCCGAAATTGCCACAACGCCCAGGGCTGGGCCAGGCTGAAGCCAGAAGCCAGGAGCCCCTTCTGAGTCTCCCACTTGGGTGAAGAGTCCCAAGCAGTCGGACCATCTTCCCCTGCTTTCCCAGGTGCATTAGCAGGGCGCTTGATTGGAGTGGAGCAGCCACGTCTTGAACTGGCACCCTTATTGGATGCCAGCATCACAGGCAGAGGCTTAACCTACTCTGCCACAATGCCAGCCCTTAACATGCTGCTCAGAGTAAGCATACTAAGATTGATTTTGTTTGAAAGCATAGTTACAGAGATGCAGAGGCAGAGAGAGAGGGAGAGAGCAAGTCTTCCATCTGCTGGTTCACTCCCCAAATGGCCACAACAGCTGGAGCTTAGGAGATCCAAAGCCAGGAGCCAAGAACCTCTTCTGGGTCCCCAACGTGGGTGCAGGGCCCAAGAATTTTTGCTATCTTCTACTGCTTCCCAGGCCATAGCAGAGAGCTGGATCAGGAGTAGAGCAGCCAGGACTCGAACCGGTGCCCATATGTGATACTGGCACTGCTGGCAGTGGCTTTACTCACTACACCACAGTGCCAGCCCTGACATGTTCTTTTTAAAAAATATTTATTTATTTAATAAGCCAAATTTATATACATGGTATAGATATATAGATATAGATATATGAGGGGAGGACAGATGGAGAGAGATGAGAGAGACAGAAAGAGATCTTCCATTCACTGGTTACTCTCCAAATGGCAGCAATGGTTAAGCCTTGGCAAAACTGAAGCCAGGAACCGGAAACTCCATCCAGGTTTCCCATGTGCTGGCAGGGGCCCAAGTGATTGGACTGTTTCCCATTGCTTTCCCAGGTGCATTAGCAGGGAGTTGGATTACAAGCAGACCTGAGGGTCCGGCACTGTGCTGTAGCAGGTTAAGCCGCTGCCTGCAATGCCAGCATCCCATATTAGCGCTGATTTGAGACCGGGCTGCTCCACTTCCAATCCAGCTCTCTGCTAAGGCCTGGGAAAGCAGTAGAAGATACCCCAAGCCCTTGGGCCCCTGTACCTGTGTGGGAGACCCGGAAGAAGCTCCTGGCTCCTCACTTCAGATCAGCGCAGCTCCAGCCATTGCAGCCAATTGGGGAATGAACCAGTGGATGAAAGACATCTCTCTCTCTCTCTCTCTCTTTCTCTCTCTTTCTCTTTCTCTTTCTCTTTTTGCCTCTCCTTCTCTCTCTGTGTAACTCTGACTTTCAAATAAATAAATCAATCTTAAAAGAAAAGCAGACCTGGCTGGCACCGTGGCTCAGTAGGCTAATCCTCTGCCTGTGGCGCTGGCACACCAGGTTCTAGTCCCGGTTGGGGCACCGGATTCTGTCCCGGTTGCCCCTCTTCCAGGCCAGCTCTCTGCTGTGGCCAGGGAGTGCAGTGGAGGATGGTCCAAGTGCTTGGGCCCTGCACCCCATGGGAGTCCAGGAGAAGCACCTGGCTCCTGCCATCGGATCAACGCGGTACGCCAGCCGCAGCGTACCAGCCGCGGTGGCCATTGGAGGGTGAACCAACGGCAAAGGAAGACCTTTCTCTCTGTCTCTCTCTCTCACTGTCCACTCTGCCTGTCAAAAAAAAAAAAAAAAAAAAAGCAGACCTGATATCAGATACCAGTGGTCACAGGCGGTAGCTTAACCCATTGCACCACAATGCTGGCCCCAAGTGGCATGTGCAAAGGCTGTTGTTTCCTTGTTCATTTTCTTCTCAGTGGTTCTGTCCATTATTGAAGTCTCTAACCATTGCTGAATTGTTGAATTGTCTATATTTACTTCAGTTATGTCAGTTTTGCTTCATATGAGAGCTTTTTGTTGTTTAAAAACACATAATATATGACCTACCCTCTTAATAAATTTCTAAGCATATAAAAGAGGTTTATTTTCTAATATTCAAGTTTCCTTCCTGTTTGCCATGAAGCCATGCTTCCTATAGTGTGTAGCAGGGTGGGTCAGCCTTGACGTGGGGTAGCTTCTTACTACCTGTTACCCCCAGGACTTGCATCTTCAGATCCCATGTGTTTGCCCAATTGGAGGGTGATAAAGAACTCTATCTGCCCAAGTGGGTGGATCTGACTGGTCAGCAGAGCAGAGGTTGGAAGGGGTCCTGATTTTGGTGAGTGTAGCTAGGGGATTCCTTGGTTTTATCAGTGGGCTCCTGGCATGTTAAGTGCCTGTGTACACTGTTGTGTTTTATTGGTCAGTGGCCACACTTTATACCCCCTTTTCTTCTCCCTTCTGATTGCTGTGCAGTCTTGCCATCTCTGTCTATCATGACCCTGTAGCCCTGGGTGAGCCTACTGTCTGAACTGTGTCTCACCATTTTTCCTTCTCTCTGTCTGGTGACCATCTTGCATGTGATTTGAAATCTGCATATATCTTTAAATAATATTTGAACACCAGATAATGCTTAATATTTCAACATCACCTACTATTTTGTAATCAGATTTTGCTGCAGTAGACACATCTTCACAATGCTGGGGTGTTACTAGTAGCTAACGTTCTGCTAAAACCCTTTGCAGATGACTGACTTGGAGACCCCAGCCATCCTCCCTCTACTGCACCCCATTTTGTGCCCTCATCTCTGTTGAGGTCTTCCCTGTTCTCTGGTCTGGTGGATCCCTATTCTGCTGGGCCAGCCCTTCCTCATCTGTACCTTTTCAGAAACCTGGTAATGACCTGGAGACCTTTCTAGGTATATCTGACATGCACTGTTGATGAAGGTCTTGCTCCTTCTGTTTCAGCTCTCACTAACTGACTTTTCTCTGCTTTCAGGTTCCCTGAGTAGTCTGAAGGATAAGCAGGTGAGGAACTGCAGAGTCCATTTGTCCAAGAAGCCCTTTGTGTGTGGAGAGCCTGAGAAGGATGACCCAGTCCCCTTAGACCTCATCAAGCACCAGGCCACCCATACAGATGGGACGCCACACAGCAGCACCGAGCACGGGCAAGCTCTCCCGCTCAGTTCCGATCGTGAGCAGCAGCACGTGGTGCACGATGCACAGAGCCCTTTCAGGTGCAGTGAATGTGGGAAGGTCTTCCGGAATACCTTTGCTCTCCTTGAGCACCTGATAAGTCACTCTGGAGGAAGACCCTTCAGATGCCCAGCAGGCAGAAGATCCTTCAGAAAGAATTCAACTTGTGTTAGTCACAGAAAAATTCAAATGGGAGAAACACCCCATGTGTGCAACGAGTGTGGGAAAGCCTTCAGTTACCCCTCTAAACTGAGGAAGCACCAGAAGGTTCACACGGGCGTAAAACCCTTCCAGTGTAGTGAGTGCGGGAAAACCTTCACCCGCAAAGATGCACTGACTCTGCACCAGAGGGTCCACACGGGAGAAAGGCCGTATGCGTGCAGCAAGTGTGGGAGAGCCTTCAGTGTCCTGTCCACCCTCATCCGGCACCGGAAGGTTCACGTTGGAGACAGGCCCTATGAGTGCAGGGAATGTGGGAAGCTTTTCAAATACAACAACAGCTTCATTCTGCACCAGAGGGTCCACACGGGAGAAAGGCCTTTTGAGTGCAAGCAGTGTGGTAAAACCTACGTGACCCGCTCTGGCTTGTATCAGCACTGGAAGCTGCACACTGGGGAGCGGCCCTATGAGTGCAGCCTGTGTGGAAAAACCTTCACGACCAGGTCCTACCGCAATCGCCACCAGCAGTTCCACACGGAAGAGAGGTCCTACAAATGTACAGCATGTGGGAAAGCCTTCAAACATAGTTCTACCCTCCTTCAGCACACCAAAGTCCACACTGGAGAAAGGCTTTAGAGCAGGGCATGTGGGAGAGCCTGTGGCTGACGTCTCCTTCCAGGAGGACATTGAGAGAGTGCCCTCTGAAAGAAGCTGAACCTTACGCCTTGCTCCCGTGCCTGCCAGGTGTGGGAAGTTTTGGGGAGCTATGTTGCACTCTCTGGCCTGCCCAAGGTGGTTCCGTCACTGCCAGTTTCTGTGACGGAAGCCGTCCCACCTCCATCACCTGGCAGTCACCATGATGTGTTCAGGGATGGCAGACCTCATGCTCCCTTCTTCTAAATAGGAGAGAATTGTGACTAGCTGAGCCTATAGGTGACCTTATTTTCTCCCCTCAACTGGTCTAGGAGAAAGCATGACCCAGTCTAAGGTGAGCTGAGCGAGTGTTTGGTGGGGGAAGGGTAGGAGTACTTCTAGGGAAGGTTTGCCATTATCACGGATACACGCAGTATTTGTCATGCTGTGGCACAGAACATGATTGCTCTGGCATGTGTAGTGATAAAGGTTTTATTGTTTAAGATACCTTTAATATTGGGGGTTCTAATCCCTTGGTGTTGCGGGATTGAGAACAGAGTTGGCCTCTGTCACCAGGCTTAGAGGGCCTAGATTTTGTGTGTTGGAAGGGTGTCTCTGACTTTTTCTTGACCTAGGACAGCAGGGTAGCAAAGACTAGGTGTAGTTAAGGTTGACCTAGTTTGCGCTGGTGTCTGTCCTTGGGAAGGGCCGGTAGGCTGGATGTCAGGTTGTCCTTCAAGGTCCTGAGAAAGAAGATCCTGTAGTCCTGGGACATGGCGTTTGTAAGCCAGCCCCTACCTCTGGTGTCTGTGGGCAGTGTGTTCTTTATTGTTGTCTAGCTTTTGCTGCCACCCTCTGAAACTCAGTGTGTGGGTCCAGATTTGATTTGTTGGACCCTTTGATTTTAAAGATTTTGGAAACTATTTCCCTAAAAGGCAAATTGTCAGTTCAGCAAAACTTGTATGTTGGATGTCACTGTGTCTCTGGTCCCTGAGGAGAACATTTCCTGGGAGACATGTCTGGGGTGAAAGCAGGAGATCCCAGATGGAGAGGCTTCGGACCATAGTAATCAGTTTGTGTATTGGGAGGCAGCTGCTGCTGCCTCTGCCCAGAGTGATTCTTGCTCATTCTATTGATGACCACACCCAGACAAGCAGGCTTACAGGCAGGGGAGTTTGGGGCCAGTCTGCTCCATTTCTCCCCAGCACCATAAAAATACATGCCTACCCCTAGTCTTGCTTTGGTCTTCCTTAGGTGTAATAATTATCTACTGCCAACCTGGGGGTCTGTGTGGGAGCAGAATTAAAGTCCAACTGAGCCGTGTAGGGTGTAGGGTAGACCCTGGTCATTACAGCTCAATCCTTTGTACCATATATGATTAGCTGTGGTTAGATATCATAAAATGCCTCCCCTACCCCAGTATATGGGTTATGGGTCCTCTCCACCTCCCATGAAGCTGCTGCCTTGTGTCCTGCTGGGCTACATATAAGCAGCCAACCTTCCCAGGAGAAGGTGGAGGGTAATGTTTCCCTTGTAGAAGAAAGCTAGAACAAAGCCTGGTGACTGGCCCTTTTACCTGCCTAGGGTGCCAGTTTGGGTGGGGTTAATTAATTTTATCACTTTCAGCTCAGACTTCTTCAATTAGGGATTCAAAACTGGAATTTTGAGAGGACACAAATGAAAACAATTCCCTTGATGTGGAAGATTTTCAGCTCTAAAGCCAAACTCTATAATCATCATTACCTATCATAATAAATTAGCCATAATCATTAATGACCAGGGTTGGTGGGAAAAGTGGAAAAAAGCCTGAGAAAGACTTTGCTAGTAACTGGAAAAGGAAGTATATTCATTAGTTGCTCATGCATCTACTTGTTTGTTCATCAAGTGCTGATCAGGCACATGCCTCAGGCCTGGTCATCATAGTATTCAAGCTGAAGCTGTAATGATGGGGCCGTGGGTGTTCATGTGACCTGAGCTATGCTAATGAGAGTCAAAGGACTTGCTGGAGTTATGAAGAAAGCTGCCATCTTGGCCCCAGGAGTTCATGTACCAGATTTGGGAGTTGTATCTTCAGCAACTGTCTTTCCTCTTCAAAGACAGATCAGCCTGCAAAACAAACCAAAACAGACAGGTGAGTGACAGCAAGGCATTCCTTAGGTTGGACATTGGGCACAGCAGTTAAGACACTACTTGAGATGTCTGCATTTTGTATCAAAGTATCTGGTTCCAGTCCTTTCTTCTCTGCTTCCAGTTCTAGCTTCCTGGCAATGCGAGTTCTTTCTCTTCTGCTTCCAATTCCAGCTTCCTGCTAATGTGCACCCTGGGAGGTGGCAGATAATGCTTCAAGTGTGTGGGTCCCTGCCACTCACACAGGAAACCTGGATTGAGTTCCAGGCTCCTGGCTTCAGTGTGGCCCAGCCCCAGTTGTGCGGGCATTTGTGAAGTGAACAAAATAATGTAAGTCTGTGTCTCTGCCTCTGTCTTTCAAATAAAGTGAAAATAAAATTTTAAAGATTGCTTTTCATCTCATTTAACCCTGGGTCCATTTTGCCTGTAGGTGTCACTTGTTGAGTGAGTGAGTGGCTACTCTGCATAACCTGTGCTGGGCTGAGACCACAGCCCCATCATCAGAGGTAACCGGCAAGGGAGAAAGAAGGGCACCTAGAGAAAGAGGGTTAGCAAATGCTCTCCCTGTGCTTGAGCAAATAAAAATTGCTGCTGTGTGAGGCGGGTGCTGAGGAGTAACAGGTAAAGCCACCATCTGCAGTGCCAGCATCCCATGTGGGCGCCAGCTCCCTGCTAATGCACCTGGGAAAGCAGAAGATGGTCCAAGTCCTTGGACCCCTGTACACACATGGGAGATCCAGAAGCAGCTCCTGGCTCCTGGCTTTGGTTTGCCTCAGCTCTTGCTGTTGTGGCCATTTGGGGAGTGAACCAGAGGATGGAAGATCTTTCTGTCTGCCTCTGCCTCTCTAACTCTGCCTTTCAAATAAATAAATAAATCGTTAAAAAAAATTGCTGCTGTGTGCTGGAGACTGAACTGCTGCAGCAGAGATAAAGTGCACAGGGGACCTCCCTCCCTCCCTCATGGAGCTGCATCCTACTGCGCAGACAAGCATTCCTTAGGAAACCGCTCAGTTGGCAGTCCTAGTAAGAGCTATGAATGGGTATCCTTGCAGGTGTTGACTGAAGCCCTTCTCATTTCCTTTCCAGCATTGTCAGAACTCAGCCGGGCCTGTGTGTGTACATGTTTTCCTGTTTTCCACTGAACTATATGTCTATCCCTAATGCCAGTTAAGCAGCTTGCCTCAGGTCCGGCATTGTGCTATAGCAGGTTAAGCCTCCACCTGCCACACCAGCATCCCATATGGGTTCCAGGTCAAGTTTCTGGTGCTCCACTTCCAATCCAGCTCCCTGCTAATGCTCCTGGGAAAGCAGCAGCAGATGACTCAAATGTTTGGGTTACTGCATCCACGTGGGAGACCCAGAAGCAGCTATGGGCTCCTGCCTTTGGCCTGACCCAGCCCTGGCTATTGCAGCCATTTGAAGAGTGAACCAGTGGACAGAAGATCTCTCAATCTGTCTCTCCCTCTTGCTCTATCTCTCCCTCTCTCTTGAACTCTACCTTTCAAATAAATAAATACATCTTAAAAAAAAAAAAAAAAAAAGCGGCAGCAGCTTGCCTTCCACATCAGAGTATCTGGGTTTGATTCCTGGCTCTGGCTGCTAGCTCCAGCTTCCTTTTATGAAATGCCCTGAGAGGCAGCAGTAATGGCTCAAATACTTGGGCCCCTGCCACCCACATGGGAGACAGATTGAGTTCCCAGCTCCTGTCTTCAGCCTTACCCACTCCTAGCCATCATGAGCATTTGGGGCATGAACTAGCAGATGGAAGTGTACTCTATCTGCATCTCAAAAAGTACCATGAAATATCAAGTACTAAGAAAGATATATTTGAAATATATGCAATACATACATGTGTACATATATTGAATAATATAAAGCATTTGCTGAGAGAATTTAAAATATGGAAGAAGTGTGGGCTGGCACCGTGACACACTGAGTTAAGCTGCCGCCTGTTACACTAGCATCCCATACGCTGGTTTGAGTCCTGGCTGCTACACTTCTATCTAGCTCCCTGCTAATGCACCTTTGAAAACAGTGGAAGATGGCTCAAGTACTTGGGCCCCTGCCACACACCAGGGTTCATGCAAGAACTCCGAGCAGAAAACCTCTTAATTTGTGAGGCACTGAACAGGGTATATGGACAAATTCTGCCTTGGTATTGGGTTGCACTGTGTTCTTTTTTCTTTTTTTTTTTTTTAATTTATTTTATTTGAAAGGCAGAGTTACAGAGGGGCAGGGAGGGGAGCGAGGAAGAGAGAGGTCTTTTACCCGCTGGTTCACTCCCCAAATAGCTGCAATGGCCAGAGCTGCACTGATACAAAGTGAGGAGCCCGGAGCTTCTTCCAGGTCTCCCGTGTAGGTGCAGGGGCCCAAGGACTTGGGCCATCTTCCACTGCTTTCCCAGACCATAAGCAGAGAGCTGGATTGGAAGTGGAGCAGCAGGCACATGAACCGACTCCCATTGAGATGCGTGACACTACAGGCGGCAGCTTTACCTGCTACGCCACAGCACCGGCCCCTGCACTGTTCTAACTGAACCTGTGCAAGCCCACGCCCAGCATCCTCGTCCTCAGTAAAATACATGCCGGAAGATACCCCAGCTCTCCAGGACTCTGGGGTGCCCTCCAACCTGGAGAGGAAGAACTTTGAATTGGAGCCAGTGCAGTGGAGTGTGGGTAAAGCCGGTGTCTGCAGTGCCACGTCCCATATGGGCACCGGTTTGGATCCTAGCTGCTCCACTTCAAACTAGCTGCTCCAACTCCCTGTGAGTGTGCCTGAGAAAGCAATAGAAGATGGCCCAAGTACTCAGGCCCCTGTACCTGCTTTGGAGACCTGGAAGAAGCTCTTTGCTCCTGGCTTCAGACTGACCCTGCTCCAGCCATTATAGCCATTTGGGGGAGTGAACCAGTGGATGGAAGACCTCTCTCTCTGTGTTTCTCCCTCTTTTTCTGTAACTCTGATTGGCTTTAAATTAAAATAAACTAAAAGAAGTGAATGGATCCTCTGCTTACAGGAGGATACTTCTCTAAAAAATAAATTATAGGGGCTGGCCCTGTGGTGTAATCGGTAAAGCCACTGCCTGCAGTGCTGGAATCCCATATGGGCACTGGTTCTAGTCCTGGCTGCTCCTCTTCTGATCCAGCTCTCTGCTATGGCCTGGGGAAGCAGTAGAAAATGGCCCAAGTCCTTGGACCCTGCACCGGCGTGGGAGACCTGGAGGAAGCTCCTGGCTCCTGGCTTCGGATCAGCGCATCTCTTCATTGCAGTCAACTGGGGAGTGAACCAGCAGATGGAAGACCTCTCTCTCTGTGTCTCTCCTTCTCTCTGTGTGTAACTCTGACTTTCAAATAAATATTTAAAAAATAAATTATAAAAGTTAATAAGCTGGTTATAAAAGTTAATATTTGAAAATAATTCAGACATTTAATAATCTTTTCACAGGTTCAGTCCCAGCCCACTGGCGGATCACATCACAGAGCTACCCTGAATTTTACAGGTGATTGAACCTTTCTGGGGTTCAGTGGCAGGCAGAGGTCTGCACTAAAAGGCTGGCAACCCTGCACTTGAACTGTTCTGAGATCACCAGGAAAATACCACTCCTCTCTCTTTTTTTTTTTTTTTAAGACTTATTTTTATTTATTTGAAAGACAGAGTTACAGAGAGAAAGAGAGGTCTTCCATCTGCTAGTTCACTCCCCAGATGACCACAACGGCCAGAGCTGAGCCAACCAGAAGCCAGGAGCCAGGAACTTCTTCCAAGTCTCCCACGCCGGTGCAGGGGCCCAAGCACTTGGGCCATCTCCCACTGCTTTCCCAAGCCATAGCAGAGAGCTGGATCAGAAGTGGAGCAGCCAGGACTCGAACTAGTGCCCATATGGGACGCCAGCACTGCAGGCTGGGGCTTTAACCCACTGCACCACAGTGCCAGCCCCCACTCCCTTCTTAATGTAGATCTTGGGCAGAGAGAGTACAAAATTACTTTCTAGCAGATGGAAGATCTCTCTCTGTCACTCAAATAATTTTTTTTTTTTTTTAAGATTTGAAAGAGTGATAGGGAAAGATCTTCAATTTGCTGGTTCACTCCCCAAATGACTGTGACGGCCAGGTTTGGGCCAGGCTGAGGCCAGGAGCCAGGAACTCCATCTAAGTCCCCACATGGGTGGCAGAGCCCAGGCCCTTGGGCCGTCCCCTGCTGCTTCCCCAGACCATTAGCAGTAGCTGGGTTGGAATTAGAGCAGCCAGGACTTCACTGGCACTCAGATGGGATGCAGGCCCCACAGCTGGCACTTACCCTGCTGCACCATGACTCTGGCCCTGACTCTATCATGCCTCTGAAGTACATGCTTCAGGGCCAGCGCTGTGGTGATGCAGGTAAAGCTGTTGCCTGCAGCGCTGGCATCCCGTATGGACACCAGTTCTAGTCCCGGCTGCTCCACTTCCAATCCAGCTCTCTGCTATGACCTGGGAAAGCAGTAGAAGATGGTACAAGCCCTTGGGCCCCTGCACCTGTGTGGGAGACCTGGAAGAAACTCCTGGCTCCAGATCAGCGTAGCCGTGGCCATTGTGGCCATCTGGATAGAAGACCAGTGGATGGTCTCTCTCTCTCTCTCTCTCTCTGACTTTCAAGTAAAATAAATACATCTTAAAAAGACACACACACACACTCCCAGCACCTCCACCACCTCCTGCCTCCGCTTCGAACTTTCCACATCTCACACAATAGAGGCCCAGCTCAGCAGCCTGCCTTTGCCGGCCTAACTGGTCCCACTGCTGTTTCTAGCAGACTCCACAGACTTGAGTTTCCCTGAACGTTTCCACCTCGTCACATTCAAGGTATTCCCTGTGCCTGGGACAGCCGTCCCAGACTTCACTCCGCAGGCCTCACGAGACGGGACGCCATCGCCTCCCCGCAGCCCAAGCCTGGATGCAGGGTGCTAGGGGGAAGCACCGCTCAGGGTCAAGGAAAGGAGACTAGGATTCCAAGATCGGGAGGGCTGGGATCCCAGTGGGTGGGAACCTGCGCCAGGTCCGTCAGCAACGCCGCGGCTCCGACGGAACCCGGGCGCCGGGCGGGGTGACTGCGGGCTGACGGCCACACTCAGTTTCCCCAGATATGAAATGTGCTCCAGGAGCAGACAGCGGGGATCGCGGAGAGTCACGGCGCTGGTCCGACATGTGGGGAAACCGAGGCAGAGCTATTAGCCGTGGAGAGCCTTCTCTCTTTTCCTCCCGTCGGGAACCAGCAGCGAACCGGCGGACAACCCGCCAGACACAATATGAGACCGCAGTGGCGGCGCCGGAAGTCCTACCCCGTCCAGGGCGGGAGACCCGGTCGGAGCCCACAGCGGCTCGGTGCAAGCCGCCGACCGTAACCCCGGAGCCTGCCTGGGAGCCGCCTGCTCGTTGCCAAGGTGATCAGGAAACGCGCTCCCGCTGCCTGGCTCACACTGCGCCCAATGGGAGCCCAGGATGGGCGCTTGTGGGCGGGCCTTACGGACTCTCGTCCAATGAAGGCCTAGGGGCGCGCCGGCGGGGGCGGGACTTCCAGCGTCGTTCGCTGACGGCTCCTTTGGCAATTCGCTGTTCTGTCAGCGCCTCCCTGAGCGACGGCCGGCGTGGAGGAGGCCCTCCCGGCCCACGGAAGCGCGAGCCGGGAAGGAGAGCCGGCGAGATCTCGCCCTCGTGACTGTCAGGTGCGCTGACTGCGGTGACTGTCTTGGGGAGCCCTCGGCGCGTCGGCGTCCTCCGGGCCCCGGGCTCGCGGCGCCCTGTCGTCGTCGCGCTGGGCGTTGTGTGGGAGAAGGAGGCTCAGAAAGCCGCCAGGTCCGAGGTCGCCGGTCCCCCACCACGTACCTGGGGAGGCTTTGACGTTCCTGCGGGTCCGTGAGCGCTCACCGGCGGGGGCACCATCTCAGAAGCCCGTGGGCGAGATGGAGGCAGGGAGCGGGGAGTAAACGCACAGGGAGCTGCCCGTGCCTGGCTTGCGGGTGAGACTGACCCAGGGCGTTCAGGAAGGTGCTCGCGGGAGCGCGAGAGGTTTCCGCTTCTGTCGGAAGCCTGAGGGTGCCGGGAACCATGGGCGATTCTGAGCAAAGATCTGAGTTAACGTTTTGAAAATGCCCCAGGGGCTGCAAAATGAACGGGCGGTGGGAGAAGGGTTGTGGCAGGGCAGGAAGCAGAGAGCCTCGTGGGGAGGGGAGAGGGGAGCCGTGCTGAGATTACCCAGCTAGAGCGGATGGGATAGCCTGTTGATTCAGACATGGGTGAAGGACCATTGATTATAGGAAGGACCAGGACGCTGCCCCTGGAGATCGAAGGTGGGCAGGAAGAGAATGCCTCAGTGGAGATTAGCGGTTGGCTTCTGCAGGTGTAAAGGTGGAGTTGTCTGCAAACATCTGAGTAGAGGTGTCGCATGGGCCCTTCGCCTCCCAAGGATTCTGGTGTGGCCTCTGGAGAGCCAGCAGTGGTGTGCTGGTGGCCTGGACCAGGTACAGGCCTGAGGATGGGATTTGGGAAGTCTTAGACTGTAGTTACAGATGGGTCTTGAGGTGAGTAGGTCAAGGCTTGGACCAGTGGCTGGTTGGAGGATGTGGGTACAGAAAAATATATATATTTACTTATTTACTTGAAAGTCAGAGTTACACAGAGAGAGGAAGACACACACACACACAGAATGAGAGAGAGAGAGATCAATCTTGCATCTGCTGGTTCACTCCTCAAATGGCTGCAATGGCCAGGGTTGAGCCAGGCCAAAGCCTGGAGTCAGCAGTTTCTTCTGGATCTCCCACATGAGTGTAGGGGCCCAAGCACTTGGGCCTTCTTCCGCTGCTTTTCCACGTGCATTAGCAGGGAGCTGGATCAGAAGTGGAGCAGCAGGTCTGGAGCTGGATGTCAGTATCGCAGGTAGTGGCTTTATCTGTTATGCCACAACACCGGCCCTGGGCGCGGAAAAATTAGTGCAGCCCTGCCTAAGACCAGTGGGCCTGGGGAGAGTACACATCCAGGGGAAGTCTCTACTCTCATATGAAGGGGTGAGCAAGTCTATCAGGGATCAAGATCTGGGAGACATAAATGGGAGGTAGTTGGCAAAATGGGGACCAGCCTCATGTCCAGTGCTTAGGTCTGTTAGAAAAAGTGGGACTTTCTACTGAGGCCTAGTGGGGCTTCCAGAGTGACACACTGCTGCAGTTTGTACTCCTGCTCAGGTCTTTGTGTCCCCTTCACCACCACCCCCACCCCCGTACCTGAAATGTAGTTTTTTTTCCCTCTGCTTTTGCTATGATCACCATGGGAAGTGCTGCTAACCCTGGTACAAGCCTAGGTCCTGCTACCTTCTCTCATGGCTGCTGCATGAACAACCCCCATACCTTCTGCTCTAAGTCCTTGATAGCCATGGTCCACTGTAAGTATTCTCACAACCCATGTAACTTACTGTGTCTAGCTGAGTCATTTTTTGATCAAGTAACCCTGTGAAAATCTGTGGCTTTTCTATCCCCTTTGCTGTACTCCCTTACTTCAGCCAGTTTTCTGCCGACTGTCTTTGCTAATATGCCTGCCAGCATCACGGGCCCTGACATGATCTTTGATTATGGAGCCATCAAGTTTTTCTAGTGAGATCTTCCCTGGGCGTTGGTTTCATGAGATTGGTTCAGTTCTTCTCAGCTATACAAGTGTGTAGATGTTCTTCACTTACTGTGGACTGCCATGGGCTGAAATACTTAGACCTAGGGTGACCTCTCACAAAACACATCATCCTCCATAGGAATCACTGCCTCCACCCGTGTGGTCACCCAGCCAGAACAAGTGAGGAGACTTGGTTGGTAGACAGCTCAAATCAGGTAATGGCCAGAGAGGCCTCATGTGGGGATTGATCTGGGGAGTCCAAGACAGGTATGAAAGGGTCACTAACAGTGGGCATGTGGTTCACCTGGTACCTGACGTGTGCCCTCTGTTGTCCTGGTGCCAAGGTGAATAGCCAGTCCCCTTTTAAAATCTTCCTGACCCTCTCCTGATGCTGCATCCTACTTCTCCCCTGACTCTGTCCCCTGGCTGCCCCTCTGTTCTCCAGTTATCATCCTTTCCCCTTCTTCCCCCTATAGCCAGATCTTCCACCACTGGTCTCCTGCTAGCATATGCTGACCTGATGCATATCATTAAATGGTCTTGAAAACCTGTTCTGAGAGACTGGCTTATTGTACTCCTCTAAGGAATATGGGCACTTTTGTTGATTCCTTGAGGCATGATTTTCCCTCATTGCACAGCGCTTGTCTATCGTCAGACACTGAAGCCCTTCCAGCTCCACGTTTTGCAGAATGTAAAGAGGACTGACACCGAAGAGACACCTGAAAAAATGTACAGCGTATGGAAAGGCATTCAAAGAGAAACAACTCTTTATCCCTACCAAAAAACTTCAGAACAGTTAAAAATTCTCAAGTGCATTGTGAACATGGGAAGGATTTTACCTTTGTGTTCATTTTGATAAAGTTCAAGTACATCCATACCTTCAAATGGCCCTACAAATGTGTTAACATGAGAAAGCCCCTACCCAGAGCTCCACCCCTCTTTGAGAACCAGAATGTTCTCTTCACAGAGAAAGACCTTACAAAGGCGGGGCGTAAGGCCTAGCCTTGAGCAAAAGTTTGTAATATTCTTTCCTGTACCAACCATGTTCATATTTTACAAAGTACTCATAAGTGTGTGAAATGTGGGGCACTTGCATTCAGAGCTCTGCTCTCATCAGCAACAGCAAATTCATGGCAGGGAATGACTATACAAATGTAGTAACTGCATGGAAGCTTTCAGTAAGATATAAAACCGTATTCTTCAGAATTTATATCAGAGACAGGCCTAACAAGTGCAGCTACGTTGGAAAGCCTCTTCTCACAGGTTAAATTCAATTTAGCTCAAGCAAGTTACTACATTGTGAATGTAGTGTGCAGAAGAGAGAAAAAGAAAAGCTGCAGCTCCTACTTGTGCATAAAAAGATTGATACTGGTGCTGGCATGGTGCAGTGGGTTGAGATGCTGCCTGCAATGCCAGCATCCCATATTGGTGCCAGTTCAAGTCCCGATGACTCCATTTCTGATCTAGCTCCCTGCTGGTTTGCTGGGGAAGGTAGTAGAGAATGACCCAACTCCAAGGGCCCCAATACCCATGTGGGATACCTGAATGGTATTCTGGGCTCCTGGCTTTGGTCTGGCCCAGCCTGCCCACTGTGGCCAATTGCAGAGTGAGGCAGTGGATGAAAGATCTTGCTCTCTCTAACTCTGCCTTTCAAATAAATAAATAAATCTTTAAAAATATATTGATACTAATTTATGCTGTTAGTGCAGTTGTAGTAGTACCAGCCAAGTATGCAGGCAACATAGCTAAGGACATTCTAGACATCTCAGTTCATTTCTCAGGCTCATCTTTTTGTTGTTGGGTTTTTTGTTGTTGTTGTTGTTTTGTTGTTTTTTTGGTTTTTTTTGGCAGGCAGAGTGGACAATGAGAGAGAGACAGAGAGAAAGGTCTTCCTTTGCCGTTGGTTCACCCTCCAATGGCCGCCACGGCCGGCACACCGCACTGATCTGAAGCCAGGAGCAGGAGACTCTTCCAGGTCTCCCACGTGGGTTCAGGGGCCCAAGGACCTGGGCCACTGCGGCCAGCGCACCGCGCCTATCCAAAGGCAGGAGCCAGGTGCTTCTCCTGGTCTCCCATGGGGTACAGGGCCCAAGGACTTGGGCCATCCTCCACTGCACTCCCTGGCCACAGCAGAGAGCTGGCCTGGAAGAGGGGCAACCAGGACAGAATCCGGTGCCCCAACAGGGACTAGAACCCGGTGTGCCGGCGCCGCTAGGCGGAGGATTAGCCTACTGAGCCGCGGCGCCGGCCCATTGTTGTTGAATGATCCTAATAATAAGCAATTTAACAATTTTGTGGGGAAAATGTTGATAATGGAGAGAGCCCCCTATGTGTGCAGTCAGCATAGGAAAGCAGTCAACCACATCTCCTTACTTGGTTGGTACCAGAAACTTCTCTTTGGGAAAAGAAACCTTCCAAGCACAGTGAATATAGGAAAGTCTTCAACTGCCTTTTAAAAAGTTTCAGTCTTCTCTTTTACCTCATTGAGTATAAAAGAATTAATATCCAAGAGAGATGCTACGTGAATATCCTCAGTCACAGGTATAGCCACACCTGGAAGTTCAACGACTACTCTGCACATGAGGAAAGCCAAGGGAACCATGTAGTACTTTGTGACCTACTGGAGAGCTTTGGCAGAGGTGTCACAGCACTGGGTCCTGTGACAGAAACCCTCCTGTGTTTGGTGGTAGTTGCTCAGTGTGAGCAGCCCCTGTGTTCCCTGCTTATACTATTCTGAAGGGAGGGTGGTGATCCTGTACCATTGTGATGGCATCATAGCTGGGTTTAGCAGGAAATGATCCTACTGTGAGCAAGGAGCTTGATGTAAGTTTCTGGGGAGCTTCTGGGTAAGTTTTCTTTTGTCTCTGAAAATTGGGTCATCTTCCACTGCTTTCCCAGGCCATTAGCAGAGAGTTGGATCAGAAGTGGAACAGCAGGGACTCTAACCAGCTCAGATACGGGATGCCAGCACTGCAGGCAGCAGCTTTCTCCCCAGTATGCCACAGTGCCGGTATGGCCTAGAAACTCTCCAGGAGGTAGCTGTAGGCAATCATAGTGCTCATCTTTTATTTCCCTTCTCAGGGTTCTCTGGTCTATGCAGTCTGTTGCAGTGTTTGAAAAGCATTGTTTCTTGTTTTTCTGGTTGTTTTATTGTTTCAGGTGAAAGGGTAGATCTGGTCCCTATCACTCCATCTTGCCTGAGAGCAGTTTTATAATTTATATTTGTGTGATTTCTTCCCCCCTCCCACAATGAATACTTGACTCTTCAATAGAATGTCAACTCTACAGGAGAGTCTTTGTGTATTTTGTTTACTACTATAGTAGTGTAGTCTCCAACACACAATAGTTGCTCAATTGGCAGGGGTTAAATAAGTGAATTAGCAGACTCAGGTTCCTTAAGTGCAAAGGATACGTTATGGAGTATGATCTGATGTGAAGGAGGATTCCCCACAGGGAAGGTGCTCACTTTTCGCCCGGCTCTTTGCTGAGTCCTTTGGTAAACAGAGGCATGAGGTGATACAGCACACATGGCCTTCACCTAGAGTTGTCTCCTAATGGGGAATATAGAGATATAGTGTATAAGCAGAGAAAATTGCAGGGTAATTCCTGATGTCATTTTTGATAGAGCACTGAGAGAAACAAAACAGAGAGGTAACGGAGAGCAGTGGAAGCCAATTCATATTAGTAGTCAGAAAGACTTCTCTGAGTAGGTGACTACAGAGTTTTTCACCCAGAAACAACTGCATTGTAGATGCCCTAGGCGGTAATGAGCAGGTACATTTGAGGAACCAGATCATGCTAGCCTTGCAAGCTGGGGGAAGTTTACATTTTTTTCCAAGTAGGATGGGGATCCACAAATCAAGTTAGTTGCTGTGAGGGAGACCAGGGATACAAGGGGTCAGATGGGCTGAGGCTGAATTTTGGATGCATGGAAGACAACTGAGAAGAAAGGAGCTTCGACAGCATCTAAGCCCACTGCAGCCGCTGCTGCTGCTGTCTTCCAGATCCAGGATCACTTCTGACCTTTTCCAAGGAACTGGTAGAAAATTCTGGGCTGGGCTCTAAGCAGTTCAACTCTGGTACTGCTTCTCCAGTAGCTAAAAGGGGTGGCTGATGTTGTGGGCACAGCTGCAAAGGGAGAACTCTCCCAGGTGTCATATACCTCACTCTGAGGAGTTTCAGCAAACTCCTGAAGTTTGTTTGGCGTCTGGCTTTAGGCACTACAAAGATCTGGGGTTCAAGTGATATCAGCAGTCACTCTACAGTGCTTTGCTATGTGGCGGTTCACAGGAAGGTCTTTTGAGATTCAAGATGAATGTCAGCAGCCCCAACTCATAGATGTCTTGAGCCATGTGAGCTTTGCTTCAGACATTCTGGCACATATACCCACTCACATGTGCACCCACACATGGCAGGCCACATGCCTCGCACAGAGCCCTACTGAGAAGACCTGAAAGCGAATATAAAGACTAGTCAGGTATTCTTTACCAATGGGGACAGCATCCTTTTACATGGCCTACCTATAACTCATCATTCAGGATTCAAAGAACTGAGCTCTGGCAACAAATACCTGCCCTACCTTGAAGTCCACATGGCTCAACTGAACTTTAATTCTCATCCCAAGCAGCCCTACCGTGTGGGTGGAGGACAACAGAAAGGAAAAGGATGGCCTGAGATTAGGTGCTGTCCTCCTACCTCAGAACTCTGGGAAGAACTCATGCAGACCTGCCACAAGCTTGCTGAGCACAGGCCTTCCTGGGTGCTGGTCTTAAGGAGGTTAGCGTCTCTCTCCACTCCAAGATCCTGGGGGAGAGTCGTTCTGGATGAAGTGGCAACAGCGCCATTAATGCTGCTACATGCCACTGTAGACATTTTCAGCCAAACTGGGTAGCATGTCTGGAGATCACAAGGCTCCTTTGGGCCTGATTTGCTTCCTGATAGTCAGAACCATCAGGCCCAGGAACACATGTGTAGACCTATGTACATGGGTTCTTATGAAACGACTTTGTATAGAAGTTTTCAGGAATGGTTTCCAACATTTATAAAATCAAAGGCCTCCACATAAAAATGTGCCTCTATCCCTTGGGAACCAAGAAAATGGGGCAAGCATATGTTTATCCCACCATCTCTGTCTTTTGTGCCCTGAGACAGCTCTTCCTCAGGGGCAGTAAAACCAGCAGATGAAGGTAATGGCCACGTTTCGGGACTAGAGGATCCCCCTTCTCTCAGTCCTGGAGTTCCTGCCCACACAGGATGGTCCTGAAATGAACACCCCAGAGGTGTTGCAGGGCACCGAATCTTCAGATTATCTGCTCTGCCAGTACCCAGCATGCTGCCCACTCTAAAGAGGCGCCTGCATTTGTGTGTGTGTGTGTGTGTGTGTGTGTGTTTTTCTGGCAGAGTGGACAGTGAGAGAGAGGGAGAAAGGTCTTTCTTTGCCGTTGGCTCACCCTCCAATGGCCGCCGCGGCCGGCGCACCGCGCTGATCCGATGGCAGGAGCCAGGTGCTTCTCCTGGTCTCCCATGGGGTGTAGGGCCCAAGCACTTGGGCCATCCTCCACTGCACTCCCTGGCCACAGCAGAGAGCTGGCCTGGAAGAGGGGCAACCAGGACAGAATCTGGCGCCCCGACCGGGACTAGAATCTGGTGTGCCGGCGCTGCTAGGCGGAGGATTAACCTGTTGAGCCGCGGCGCCAGCCTTGCACTTGTTCTTAAGAACATGGTTGTGCAAGACCTCTCAGGTTCTGCAGAGCTGAGTCTCCTGTGACCAAGCTCACTATCACATGTGACAAATTTGGGTGACAGGGGCTCAAGCACTTAAGCCATCATCTGCTGCTTTCCCAGGCACATTAGCAGGAAGTTAGATCAGAAGCAGAGCAACCAGTCCTCAAACCATTGCTCCAATATGGGATGCCAGTGTGACAAGCTGTGCTTAACCTGGTATACCAGAGTGCCAGCCCCCAGCGAGGCCTTTATGGTCACACACTGGAGGCAGGCAGTTCCAAAGCTGGGTGACATTAAGGCTCAACAAGTGCACTGCAGGTGTCAAGCTCAACAAGGACCAAGAAAAAGGGAAATTCCTGGAAGTCCACAGCCTCATTGAAAACTAGGTTAGGGCAATGCCAAAGCACTGGAGAAAGGGGAAAGGTGGAAATGAGATGACCCCAAAAGGTGCCCACCACTCGTAGTTCTTTCTGCCACATGAGAGAGTTCAGAGGTCTGACTTCCCTGAGTATGACAAGTACACTGGAGGCCTGCCAGCTGGTAGAAGTGAGATTGTAGCCGGCAGTGGTATAATCTGACAAACGCA